GAAGAACTGAATCAATAGAAAATGTATGTGTAATTCTGCATTTATTAGGTAAGATCAGAGGATAAGAGTCCACAGTGGCCATCTGCACTCTGGAGACCTGGAGGATCCAGAAGCTGCTCAGGCCAAGAAGATGGAAACTACAGAACAAGAGGGATCAAGGATGCAGTGTCTGTCCAAGGTCAAAGGCATGGACACTTCCTGGAGAGTATGAAGCACTGGGGACCTGAAGAAATGGGAGACTGGTGTCCAAAGGTAATAGAGAATACTGGAATTCTTAAATACTAGGAAAACTTCCTTCTCTTTTCTCCTTTTATCCCATCCAGACTACAAGTCTATTAATTTGTGTTCTGCATATCTGGGTGGGTCTTCTCTGTTTACTGGCCTACATGTCATTCATCCACCCACACACCCAGAACTGTGCTCCACTAAATCTGCTAAGCATTTCTTAATCCATTCAAGTTGCCATATCATGATTAACATCACAAGTAGGATACACCAACACACAAAAATCAGTAATGTTCCTGAACAACAAACAATGACTCCACTCAGAAAAGAAATTAGGAAGGTGATCTCATTCATGATAACGTTAGAAAAATTTAATACCCAAGAAACAACCTAATCAAAGAGATGAATGATCTCTACAATCAAAATTATAGAATGCTGAAGAAAGAAACTGAGTGTAACTCATTAAAAGACAGAATGATTTCGCCTGCCCATGGATGGGCAGAATTAATAGTTACATGTTACCAAAAGTGATCTGTAGATTCAACGAAATTCCTGTTAAAATATAAACAATATTCTTCAGAGAGCAAGAAAAACAATCCTAAAATTTATGTGGAATCAGAAAACACCCAGAATAGCCAAAGCAATTCTGAGCAAGGTTGAATACACCACAATACGGGATTACAAGTTATATTTCAAAGCCAAAGTAACAAAAACAACATGATATTGGCATGAAAACAGATGTAAATATCAATGGAATAAAACAAAAGAGACAGGAACAACACCACACTCCTACAGCTATCTAATTTTTGACAAAGGGACCAAAACATCACTGAAGAAAAGACAGCTTCTTTTAACAAATTGTGCTGAGAAAACTGGATATCCAAATACAGAAGGCTGAAACTATATCCCTATTTCTCAACCTGTTCTAAAACTAATCAAAATGAGTAAAAGACCTGGATATAAAGCCAGAAACTTTGACATCGCTGGACAATAGCATAAGGGAAACACATGAAACACTGGTAAAGACTACCTAAATAGGACTCCAATGGCACGAGAGATAGTGTCAAAGATCAACAAATGAGATTATAACAAATTAAAAAGCATCTGTGTAGCAATGGAAGCAGTGAAGAAACAATTTACAGAATAGGTAAGAACCTTTCCAAGGTACTATTTTGATAGAGTATTAATCAGAGTATATAATGAGCTTTTAAAAACTAACCCAATCAAAACTTGGCAAATGAGCCATCATACACCTGTAATCTCAGCAACCAGAAGGCTGAGGCAGGAGAATCACAAGGAGTTTGAGGCTACTCTTGAGTTCAAGACCAGCCTATATGACATAGGAGATGCTGTCTCAAAAACCTAAATAAACAAACAAAAAAATAAGGAATGCTAGCAAGAAAAAGAAGCCCTTCTACCTTGTTGGTGGGAATGTCAACTAGTACAACCCCATGGAAATCAGGATGTAGAGTCTGCAAAAACTACAGGTAGAAATATCATTTGATCCAACTATATTGCTCCTGGGTATAATCTGAAAATAATTAAAGGCAGGATACAATAGTGATAATTACCTATCAGATATAATGTACCAATTTATAGCAGCACAATTCACCATAGCTAAATTGTGGAAACAGCCTAGATTCCCATCAATAGATGAATGGGTAAATAAAATGTGATGTATATACACAATAGAATATTATTCAGCTACAAGAAGAATGAAGTCATGTCATCTGCAAGAAGTAGAAGGAACTAGAGACCATCATGTAAGCAAAATAATTCAGACTCAGTTAAATGTCACATGTTTTTTCTTATGTAAGAAACCATGTAAGTAAAAAAAATAAAGGAAAGGACAGAAAATAGAAGGTAGACTTTTTGACATGGTAAGAGAGAGAAACGAAACAGAGTCATGGGATTGAAAATGATAAAGATATGTTAATATAACCTTTTTCTTTTCTTTTTTCTTTTTGAGACAGGGTCTCACTTTGTAGCTCAGGCTGACCTCAAACTTGCAAGTGCTGGAGTTAAAGGTGTATATGATCACAACTGGTATAAGATACGTTACACTCATTTACCAATTTCCTAAAAATTAACCTCTCCATTCTGCATTATTAATGTGCACTATAAAAGAAAACAAGAAAGGATGAAAGGAAGAAGAGAAAGAAAAACAGCTCTATTGAGGTCTGCAGCAAATGTCATTTCCCTGAATTCTGCCATCTGTCATGGTATGAGAAAGGGAGTAGGCTGAGAGGCTAGGCTTCGTGTGACTGGACTCTGTGGAGCAGACCAGGTTGAAAAATATTAACAGCTGGGCAAGAGACTCTTAAAAAAAAGAAATCTTGAGCCTGCCTGGCAAGCACAAGATCGTAAGTTTAATCCTCTGTTGGAAAAAAAAATCTTGAGGGAAAAAAAGACTTCAGAAAGGACATAATACATTTTTCTTCTCTAAGTTAAGACAAATTGTATGTTTTCAAATTTTGTGCTATAAAAAACTCATCCTTTATTAGTTGATTAGAACCATCCGAGCGAACAAACCTTCCTTCATTTACTATTTCAAATAGATGCAGTTCATCATCTTTAAAAAAAACTTTAATACAGAAAAAGAATTAAAAGATTCTGTTAGTGATCAAATTTTCATATTTGCAGAGAAAGCACCACACTATCACTTACTGTAGGAAATCAATTATTTTTAAAGGAACAACAATTTGGGTACCAAAACAGTAAAATAAAGGTTGCTCATGTCCACATACAATATCTGACATAGTCACTACTTATTCTATGAATTTAAAATCTCTATTCAAGCAGAATTATGCCACTTGAACAATTACTTTTACAACTTGCTACAGTGAAAAGCTTATTAGGGAGATATAAATATCATTTTGGTGAGATGATCCAGCTAGTAATAACCAAATTAAAAGTGTTTACAACTGACACTAACAGCCGCAGGTACTTAGACTGAACTGTCCAGTTATTTGTTCACTTTGTATGAATTTTAAGTCAATAGGCAAGAGCTAAACTCTAATTTTTTCTAATGAAGGGTTTTGATTATGCTTTTGTTACTGTTATAAGCAGCTGAGCAAATTAGAAATATTAAAGGTAGGGGGCTGGGGATTTAGCTCAGTGGCATAAGCGCCTGCCTTGTAAGCAAGTAGTCCTAAGTTCGATCCCCAGTACCGATTAAAAAAAAAAAAAATCCAAGAAATATTAAAGGCAGTCAGTAGGCCCTCAAAGAAGCTGGCATAGAGGACCAGATGTCTGGTGACCCTGGAGGTGACACACACCTCTTGCTGTGGGCCAGGTCTCAGAACAGAAGGAAAACAAATGCAATCACACCCTTAAGTATAAACCTGAGGGATTAAGTATGGATCACCTTGAGAAGCTAGAAATCACCATTCCAACTCCCTACAGAAAGAGTCACTGATCCGTAAGAATGCTCGCTTATTACGTGACTCACTTCCCCATTTGTCCCTGATTTCGTCAATTTTACCTGAACAATTAAAACTTATTGATCATAGCTCTGTCCCACCTCATGCCCCTCTTCCTCATGAGCTCCTAGATTTTCCCCACCTCATCTCATGATTTTACTCTATTAAAAAATCCCTAAAAAAGACAGAGTCCTTAGCAACCTACTCGGGACCCTTTCTGTCTCTCCCAGACAAAAACTTTCTTTCTCTCAATAAATATTTCTCATTTTAACCTCCATTGTTCCTAAAATTCATTCTTCGACTTTAGAGAATGTGAACTCTTACGGGGCATATAGTAGGTTAAGGATTTCATTCCCCTATTGATAAGATTATATCCAAAAGATGATAAGTATAAAACAAAAGAGGGGTTTATTCTTAGAACGCGGAGAGAGAAAACCAAAACCCACGCCAGCTGGAGTCCGGCTTTCTCTCTGGCAGACACGTGGCGTGGAGGGTATGTAAGTAGCCTCAGTTTGGGGTGGAACCTAAAGGGGCATCAGGGATGCACAGGTAGCCCATTGGTCTTCGTTTGGCACCATAGGTTAACTCCCAGGGGGCGGGGAAGATGGAGTCACACGTAAATTCCTAGAGGTGGGGGAGATAGGAGTTCCTTGGTTCTGCCTCTAAGGCTTCACCAGCTACAGTGTCCTGTCTGGGCCAAAACTCTTTCACCAATATCATTACTAATTAGCTATGTGATTTTGAGCAATTTATTTAGTCTTTTGTGAGAAATGATAATGCCAACTTTGTCATCTGGCTATTGTGAGCTATAAATGAGTTAGTGTACCTAAAGGCCTTAAAATAGTACACATTTGCAAGTGTTAGTTGTTTCTCTAATTTATACTTTAGGAAAATACAGACGCTTTCCCTTTTGTTCACTTCCTCACAAAGTTTCCTTAAGTGAAATACGTATGAATGGGTTCTGGTTCTCAACTTTAGTAACCAACAGATAACACAACAAACTATACCTAAAATGAAAGGCATTGTGACTGTAAAAAATACGGTTTGCAGTCAACAGATCTCAGTTTGAGTCCCAGTTTGATTATCTTAAGAGCTTGACCTTGAGCAATTTACCAAACTTTACCAAGCTAGTCATTTTAAAAGAGATTATCTAGTTTTTATCACTTGTCTTTCATATTCACAATTAGGTTGTAAATACTTTGAAAGGAGCATACCATTTTTATCTTTGTCTCCTCCAACTATGGCAAGGTTTAAAATGAGAAGATTTGCTCTTGGAATAAAGCAAGATATTGATTAAGAGAGATTTAAAACCAGAAAGACATATGTTACATAATGGAAAGAAAACACACAAACCTCGTTTAACTGGCTCCAACTCTAGGTGGGCTGTCCTTGCTTCCCTTTCTTTCTTTACAAATGGACCTCAAATATTCTTTTCCTAAAGGAAGATGGCAGATAGGGAATATATATTAGTGAAGTACATTTGAATTACTCCTTAAAACTGAGCATTCTTTAATTCACCATAAGACAGAATCAAACTTTTATTCTATTTGATAACCAAGAGGTGTTTTAGTTGACTAATAGACCAGAAAACATAACATGATGAAAATCCAAAAAGTAAACACTTCCTTTAATATAAATACATTTGTTCCTTACTTCAAAATATGACTTTGAAAGAATAGCAATATCTCTGTTATAGATGACTTAACTACCCAGGGAACTGCATGAAGTACTGTAGTTAGTTACATAATGCAAAGATGCTTCTGGAGCTACCCTTTGTTAATTTTAGGGATAGAAGATGAATGGTCAGTGATGCAAAACTGTGAAAATCTGAAGAAAAACCTGTAAACTGCTTTCCCAGAAAAATGCACATACGTGTATATGTTGCATATTATTTTAGGTAAGTCACGAAACCAGACTTTTATCCTTAGATCTGTAAAACCTATTAATGAGCTCCAAGTAATCTCTGTTCTTTTTTTTTTTTTTTTTTTTTTTGTCTTTTTTGAGATGGGGTCTCACTACGGAGTTCAGGCTGGCCTTGAGCTCACTTTGTAGCCCAGGCTGGTCTCAAACTCTCAAGGATCCTCCCACCTTAGCCTCCTGAGTGCTGGGATTACTACAGGTGTGAGCCACCACGCCCAGCTCATAATCTCTATTCTTGAGTTTTTAAAAATGTATGAACTTTTAGAATTTTAGACCAGGAAGGAGTTTAAGAATCATATAATACAAACTCCTGATTAACAAGAAAATAAAGAATAGTGTCTGAGAAGAATGAAAAGAATTAAGTAAGGTCTCACTGCATTTTTTAAGGACCTAAAGGTACCCAGCCAGGAAGAGAACTAAATCAAATTTTGCCGTTAGGTCAACACTGAACCTAACTATTGAATCTGACTCAGTTCCTATCCAATTCTGTTTATGAACAGAAAGGTAGAGAGAATTTAGTTTGTGAACCATATATAGAAATATGCAGAATTTAGTATAAACCAATGTTTTTGGATCACAGTAATTTTCCCAATGAAACCAAAATAGAATTTAAAATTGTTTCTCTTTTCATTTATCTTTTTGATTTAAGCCTGTAAATAGATCATCAGTGGTTTCAAGAATTATTTTTGGAGTTATAGAAACAGGTAAGAAAGTTTATAAGTCATTTAGTCTTTCTTACCCATAGGTTTGCAAATACAAAATGCAAAGAATAAAACCTAACTCTGGGGGATTATTTTATTTTAAAATGAGAGAACATTTGAAAGTAACATCTTACCTAGAAGCACTCAAAAAAATTGTAAGAAAAGTCCTTGGCAAGTCATAGAACTAAATATTTTTTTAAAACTCCAAAGTAAATGAAATGTTTTCTAGCTAAACAAAACAGGTGGCAAAATTAAACACTATCTATCATTTAATATCACATAATATGATACTATTCAAGGTGTCACTAAGCACACAAAAGGAAGAAAACTGTTTCCTTTTAAGAGTAATTAGGGGCCAGGGATATATCTCAGTGGCACAGTGCCTGCCTGGCAAGTGTGAGGTCCTGCATTCAATTTCTAGTACCAAAAATAAGTAAATAAATAAAGAGCAATTAAACACACCCTGGGCTTTTTCCTTTTTAGTTTCTTTCTCACATTCCTCTTATACTCTTCCCTTTTAAAGTTTGGGGTTTTGCCCAATATCTGCATACCCACTGGGACTGGGAGGACATTCAAGTGAATTCTCCTAATCCTGGTCTTCCTGGGAACCTCAAACTCATGTGTCCACTTGTTTGCTAGAGATGCTTTTGCCTGAAGGTACAAAGTCTCAATATGTTCAATCCTGAGCTGCTCACATTTCCTAAAATCTGTTCCTATCAATAAGCAGCACCACCAAATTTTAACCAAAAGTCTGGCAATCATCCCACATTTTGCCAATCATCTTCAAGTTGTAATGATTTCTACTTTGGGCACTTTCTGTCTATATGGTGAACTCACTCCCTATCAACAGTATCCAAACCCCCATCATTTTCTCTCAATATGACCAAGTCAGTAGTGTAACTCATCTATACACCACTACTCTTTTGGTCTTTTTTTTTTCTTTCCTTTTTTGGTATGAGGAATCGAACCCAGGACCTTGTACTTACCAGGTAGGTACTATGCCACTGAGATATATTCATGGCATATATACTTTTATCCCATCTCAAATTTATATACTGCTGTTATGGTTTGTGTCTAGATGTCCCCCCAAAGCCTCATGCAGTAATAGGATTTTTTTCATTAGTGGTTGAATCTAGAAAGTGTGATTGGTTCATAGTGCAATGCTGGGCCTAAGGGTGCTGGGAATAAGGGTGGGTGACTGCTGGATCAATCCACTGAATGCACTGGCACTACCCTAATCCCAGTATACTGGATTCACTATAAGGGATAGAAAGAGGTTTGCCCCCCTTCCTTGCTTGCTTTTGCTGTCTCTGCTTATCATGTATTAGTTCTTTTCCACATTGTTCCTCTGTCAAGCCACACTGCCTTGGAAGCAGCTGATATGTGGCCTGAAACTTCTACAACTGTGAGGGGAATAAACCTTTCCCCTTTTAACTTTGGCTGTTGGATATTTTACCTTAGCAGTAAGAGAAAAGTAATGTGGACAACTGTAGCCAAAATGGTTGGTTTAAAATAACAATTTTGTATATCAAGCACTATTAGATGCCAAACCCTTCAATGGCAACTTATCACTCACAGAATACAGCCCAAGTTCACTTACAAAATAAATGTCCACATATGACATACAAACCCCTCAGTGGTTTGGCCCAAACTTATCTCTTCAGCTTCATTTCTTGTCTTCTGCTTCATCAGACCAGAGCAACACTGAACTATGTCAATCCCAGAACTGCAGCTATTCTCTTTGTCAATCTATTTTTATGCCCTTTTCCCACAAGGGAAATGCACCAGTTATTCTTCAAGAAACAGGTCTAGGATTGTCTGGAAACCTAACCAGAGCCTATTTCCCTAAGATACCAAGCTCACTCACTACAACAAACACTCAGGAGATGATTATTAAACCAACTAAGTATAATACTAGGTAAACTAATGACAAAGCAGCATATAATTTACATAGGTAAAGCCAGAGAAGAAATAGAAGAAACAAATATAGTCAGACAATGCTGCAGGCCATTTGTATGACAAGGTTTGGAGGGGCAATAAACAACAAACTCACAAATGTAGCTGTCCTTACAAAGAGACTTAAAACTCCACAACCCAAGACTTTCAAATACTTATCTCTGAAATTCTATGGCACAATTGCAATTTAGAGTCTACCTTGCTTTTCCATCAGAAATGTTTCAGAAAAGAGTTATTTTCATCATTTGGTCACTCCTATACATTCTTATACATTTGAGAATGTATCACCAGTTAATCTGCACATCCTGAAGAACTTTATATAATATTCTCAAATTACAGCATATTTCTACATTGCATTATTTAATCAAATTGGAAAAAGGTAACATATCCTTTTGGTAATGTTAAGGACTAGTCAATCTTACAAAGTAAGCTTTAATATTTCAAAATTAGGTTGCTCCAAATCAGTAGCAAAAAAGGAAAACTACTGCAAGTTAAATGTACAATTTACAGAGCAGTTCAACTGCAAGTAGTTTGTTTCCTGAATGTATATAATAAAAGATATTAGTCCTTAAACTTAAATAAACAAGTCACAATACAGAGAAATAGATCTATAAGGTATTTCCATATGAAGAGTGAAAATTAAGATCATCTACCAAAAATAAGAAGAGGAAACAAATGCTGTTGTAACACTTTTTTGTTTGCTTGCTTCTTTGCTTTTGAGACAGGGGCTTGCCAAGGCATCTAGCTAGCCTTAAACTCTAAATCCTCCGGCAACAGCATCAGAATAGCTGGGACTTTGGGCATGCACCAGACAGTGGTGTCAGCTTTTATAGTCATTCTTAGTGACACAACAATTGTCAAAAGAAAGACAAAAAGACAGAAAGCATTCCTGGTAACTAGGCAAAGGGGCCAATGCCTGTACTCCCATCACACTGGGAGGCTGAGGCAGGAAGATCACAAATTCCAGCTTGTGAGAGCATATATGTCACTGAAATATTTTAAAACCAGGCAGAAGAGGATCAAATCAAAGTCATATGCTAGACAAGTAACTCAGCCATTCCAAATTGAGCACCTCCACATGCAAGTTTGTATCAGTTTTGTGCTGAACATTTAACTATATACTATCTAAGGTAATACCAAATGTACATCTTCTATACCAAGGAGGAAAGGTGATTAGAAAACACATATATGCTAATAAAAACAGATTCACATTGCAGTACAAAAGTTGTTGCATAGAGTTCTACATTTTCTTGTACTGTGTGCTATAAATGCCAACTCTATTTTCAAGTGTGCAGAAAGTAAAAGGTGAGATACAAAGTTGAATGCTAATTTTCAACATAACATTAATTGTCAGAAGTTACGGTAATTCTCATTCTCATATAATACCTGTCATTTTAAAACACTCCTGCTGATATGAACTAATATTTGTGAATGAGGGTAAAAAAATGCCTTTCAGTTGTTGCTTTCAAGCAAATTGACAGATATGAATGCATATACACTAGTCCTCGATTATGAAATCTCCTCACACATAAACATTACAAAATTTTTCTCTGTAAAAGAAGAGGGACTAATATTGCAAATGTGCTAGGAAGAATAATATCAAGCATAAAAGAAACTGGCAACTCACCAATATAACACTGATAACCTCGTCATGCTTAAGTGTGCTGCAGAAGATAGTTCAGATGCTGTCAGTCAGCATCACCTATGTTTCATCAATATTCTATTTTACGAAACACCCTCTGACTTAGGAAATATGGAATCATATATCTGATGTACAATCATAAATTGTTTTCATGTGGTATGTACTTGTTCTTGACTAAGACAGTTTTGTATGTTTTATGATCATATAAAGTAGTAG